ACACACACACACACACACACACACACACACACACACACACACACACAGTAGAACACTTGAGTTTTAGGTGAACATTTTCATTTTATTTTTAAAAGTGAGCCAGGCTTAGCATTTTAAGTTTAAAGTGGAACCTGCTGAAATAGAAGATTGAAATGGATACTGTACTTACAACATTTAGAGTAGGAAAGATACAGTTTAGAATCATTTATCCCACCAGGAACCAGGGAAGCCTGTACTCAAAACTTGAGATGTTGTGGGTATCAGACAAGAAGAGTAGCTGTCATAAAACACTCTAACAGAAATTCTTGAAAACATGGGAAACGTCAGAAAAGAAATACTGCTGTAAAAAGAACTAAAGGCAATTTTGGCAACTGGAAACTAATACCTGAAAAGATACCTGGGTGATGGGCTGATCAGAACAGAGATGACAAAGGAATCAGGGAGGCTGAAGACGGAGCACAGAAGTTACACAGTTCAAGCATGTGGGAGAAAAACAAAAACATTTAAAGTCAACTGAAAGGGCTGGCGCTTAAGTAGTGAGAGCCCCTGCCTAACATGTGCAAGGGACTGGAGGATCCCAACAGCATTAAACATAAGAGAAGAGGACAACCCTCAGCCACAGGACCAGGAGAGCTGAGTGTCTGCTGTCTCAGGTGGTAGAGTGAGACACAGGCAAAATATCTGAAAGGCAAATGTATTGAAAACTTACCAAATATGGTGACTACAGAGCGAAGTTACACAGTAATTACTTGAAGGTACTTTTCTGTAAATGAAGTTTGTGAAGAACAATGTAGGCATGAAGTCTACAACCTCAGTTACTCAGACCCATCTTAGGACCTGGAGTTCCACTTGGCCTCTGACCTTCAGCTGGTGGTGACAAGACCATGCAACACACCTTGCAGCCGTGCCTTGACAAGGCCTGTAATGCTGGCAAGCAGCCAGTACTACCTGGAGCTCTTGGTGACAGGCACCAAGGCTTTCCCAACACTACAAGAAGCACTAAACATAAGAAGTGCGATACCTCACTCCAGGTTGATAGCCCACAGCTTCTAGAATGAGCACCGAGTTTTACATTGTCCTCTACATTTGAGTGTTTGGAGGAAAGAGGTCTTTTCTATGTATGTTTAGCTACTGGTTTGCTTTATTGTCAGATAGAAATCTCACGTGTTAAGATGCCAAGAGGGGCTTCACTTTTAACCACACAGACATTTGGACATGGAGCAGCGCTGCCTCATTTCTTCAGGTGGTAGATGGAGGACTTTGGTCAAAAACATTTCTGTCCTTAGTCATGACACCATTTGGACATGACTCAGTGCTTTTGCCCTCTCTGGGATGTTCACTTAGGCTCACGTGTGTAAAGACCCAGCCCCCTCTAGCACATCCATGCAGTTCCTCGCACAGGTTCCCCAGCTAGATGCTCTTTCAAGTTGCCAGTGTCTGTTCATTTAATGACAAACAGTTCTGTTTGTGTGCTGGCTCTTCTTGTCTGTGCTGTGACACTCATTACTAGTTTGCAGGATACATTTTATCACAAGCTCTAGTGATGGTGTCAGCAGCATCACCAGCGCCTGGTGCATCTGCTCAGTATCTCCTACAGCGGGCACCCTCTCCATGCTGTGATGTCAGCAAAATGAACCTGCCCAGGAACTGAGGCAGCTGCCCAGACGTCTGGGATTCTGGACATGAACTGCACCTACTTCATTTAAACTAGTTTTGTAAGAGATCCTGGTAACAGTTTTAACTTAAAAATTAGAAAGATTATACTTTTTAAAACATAAAGATGGCATTTATTTTAGTTTATTTTCTCAGTATACTTTATCACTTGAGTCTAATTTAGCAGAACATGATTGTTCTTTTTCATCCATTATAAAACTTTGTGGTACTCATGTTGTTGAAAGGTTATCTCAGATATTAATGAGAAGTGCTTGGGCTCTGGTGTCTGAGATGTTATAGCCCTGCAAAACCAGAGGAGTAACTTCAATGGAGGCAATCCAACATGGAGACCTCAGGGTTCCAGAATCACCTAAGGCTGGAGTTCCTGCTCCACTATGTACCTTGGATAAATTCCCTACGTTGGCTTGTTTAGATATAAATAGAAAACAGAAGAAATAGTGGCTATTTGATAGAGCTTTGTGGCTTTAAAGGAAATAGTAAACACAAGGCACTTGGAATGGTACTTGGCAATAATAGTAAGTCCTCCATAAATGTTAGCTGTTGATCATAGTAGGCTAGACTACTCAAGAAATTAAATGCACTCTTACTTATAAAAAGGGTTTGTGAATAGATATAAATAGCAACAGATTTGGTTGGGGTTTTTGTTTGTTTGGGGTTTTGGTCTTTGTTTGGTTTGGAGCTGTTTTGGTTTTTGTTGTTGTTTTGTTTGTTTGGTTTTGTTTTTGAGACAGGGTTTCTCTGTGAAGTCCTGGCTGTCCTAAAACTTGCTTTGTTGACCAAGCTGGCCTTAAACTCAGAGATCTGACTGCCTCTGTCTCTGTCTCCCAAGTGCTGGGATTAAAATCATGCACCACCACACCTAGCTGGAACAGATTTATTTTTAGAAGATCTTGAATATTTTTTTTTTGGTTGTCCAATTCCACTTTATATCAAGTGACTTGAAATATAATTACAACTTACAGTAGATGTAAATTACTTTGAGCTCCATGACTGGTCTATTTTGTGCCACTATATCAAAGAACCTTCAACTAGATAAGTTATAAAGGAACAAGAGTTAGATGCCATGGTTCTGAGATAGAAGGTTCAAGGTACCAGCACCTGGAAGGGGCTTCCTTGCTGTGTCCCCCATGGCAAAAAGTGAAACATCAAGAAAATGCAGACGAGAAAACCCTCTCCCTTAGGCCTCTTCATAGCAACACTGACCCGTTCATGAAAAGGGACCCAACAATTTTCAAAAAGCCACACCACCCAGCATGTCATAAGAATTATGAAGAAAACATAATCAAATCTTAGCATTGATGATGTGAAATTCTGTTATGTGTAATTATTTAACACTTAATGGTTTTTGTGTGGGAAATCCATCATTTGATCTTGTTTTTGCTTTCTGGGGTCATTTAGGAATGTAAATAATGAAGCATAAGCCAGAATCCTGCCTCGTTAGGTGATGGCACATGCCTTTAATTGAAGCATTCAGGAGGCAGAGGCTGGCAGATATCTAGAGGCCAACCTAGTCTATATAGAGAGTTCTGGGTCAGCCAGGGCTATATAGTGAGATCCTATCTCAAAAAGAAAGAAAATCCTAGCCTAGTTCTAATCCAACTTTTTCAAGAGGAGAGAGGCTGTTGCTCCTCTCCTTGGAGGAGCTGCACTTCTGCTGAGAGAAACACTCCAGAATGCCCATGCTGAAAATAATCATGACGTTTCCCTTCATTGTGTTCACAGATTGTGGATTGAATGTTCACAAGCAGTGTTCCAAGATGGTCCCCAATGACTGTAAGCCAGACCTGAAGCACGTGAAGAAGGTGTACAGCTGCGACCTGACAACACTCGTGAAAGCCCACATCACCAAGCGGCCAATGGTGGTAGACATGTGCATCAGGGAGATCGAGTCCAGAGGTGAGGTGTTTGGATGCAGGCTGCCGACGCCTTCACTCGGGGCTCTCTAGGCTCATGTCTTGTCTTTAGTGTTGCTGTTGTCTTCAGTGACATGGGGAATGGTGTCAGGAGACATGTGCTCTCACATCTGCAGTATATTAATGAGCAGGCAGCTTGGTTTCAAGGAACATTTAACTGGTTATGGAAAGTAGTATTTAGGATACATGAATGGGTGATGTCTACAGTCTACAAAGATCTCTGTGCAGAGATGATTCACCTTTCAGGTTTTTAGTTCTTCTTGTGCCAGGAAGCAAAGGCAGATATGCCCTATTAAAACGTCAAGAGCAGAAACCTGAGCTGCCTCCTAATTATTCTTACCCACTTGGGAGAGCAGCCACAGGCCTGCTGATGCAGGCCTTCTGTTATGTAAAAGACTTTCTGATGGAATTGGGTGATGAATGATTTCCCTTAAGATTTACTGTTACTTGGTCTAATTAGGCAACATGATGGCCAAATTATAAATATCCAGGTGACAGTAGGTCAGAAGTAAAAACAGTGGAACAGATTCATTTTTGGAGGATGTGGGGGAAAACTTCTAGGCATGTATGTTTTATTATTTTTTTAACACGTCATTTGTCCATCTTGAAGTATGGAGAGACATTGAAATGTGAAGGAAAGGCATGAGTTAACAGAAAATTAATTCCCATGCTCTATTCATTTATTTTTTCAGGTCTTAATTCTGAAGGACTCTACCGAGTATCAGGATTTAGTGACCTAATTGAAGATGTCAAGATGGCTTTTGATAGAGGTATGTTTTTCAGCAGAGCCATTAACTTAGATGGTCATACTCTGCCAGAAAATCAGTTTCTTATGCTACTCTTAGATGAACTTTCTAAATGACTGATGCTTATTATAGTCTGCAGAAGGTTGTGATAAGCATGGTGGCATACACCTGTGACCCCAACACTTGAGAGGTAGAAGCAAGAGGCTCACGTATCCAAGGCCATGATTGATACATAGTGAATCTGAGGCCAGCCTGTCTAAAAGCTAAGCCAAACAAACAAAACAACAAAATTCAGCTTATAGCTTCTTGTCTTTGTATCAGCTACCTTAAAGGTTCAGATTTCCTGGTGAGAAAGAAACGCAACGCTTATGGATATCACCAGCGTCTGACTATCTGAGGTTGGTCCAAGTTCACCAAAAGCAAAGATCAATTAAATTTACCAAAACTGACAGAAAAAAAAAAGGACAATGTAGTGTTTTCTCATGTCCCAGCCTGAGTTAGCCCACTCAGTCCTCCCGTGAGGTTCTGTATGACTGACTCATGTTCTAGCTCGTGTACAGGAGCCAGAAGGCTTGGAGGAGCTGAAGCTATGGCACAGCTATGGCACTGTGGAAAGCTTGCTGCCATGGGCTTTGTTTTATAGCTTATAGGAGGGGAGATACATTCGTGTTTGTAGCCCTGAATGGCCTCAAGCTTGACATTCTCCTGCCTCTGCTTCCCCAGTATTATAGGTATGTGCCGCTCTGCCCAGCTTAATGGGACTTTAAAAATAACACTTAAATTTTGATTTGTGCTGGGTATGGTGGTGCGTGGCTTTATACCTGCACTGGGAAGGGAAAGGCAGATGGATTTCTGAGTTCAAGGCCAATCTGGTGTACAGAGTGAGTTCTAGCATAGCTAGGGCCATAGAGAACTTGTAGGGGGCAGAGGATAATGTTGATTTGCTGCATGACCATACCATTTGTATTCACTTTGTGCCAGAATAAGGTAGCACCAAAGAAAAGCTATTCCCTTAAATACAGAGTTAGTAAATTTTTTTCCCCTCTAAGATAAGATTTCTCTGTATAGCCCTGGCTGTCCTGGAACTCACTGTGTAAACCAGGCTGGCCACAACCTGAGAAATCTGCCTGATTCTTCCTCACAAGAGCTGGGATTAAAGGCATGCACCACCACTATCTGTCTAAGTTAGTAATTTTTAAATGCCTTTTTTGCTTTACATTGTAGTGTGTGTGTGTGTGTGTGTGTGTGTGTGTGTGTGTGTGTGTGTGTGTCTGTTGGAGTAAGAAATGCTGTAAACTAAACCCAGGACCTCGTATGCTGGGCATGTATTTTACCAAAAGGCCCATCTATATCCTGAAAATGTATGCATTTCTAGTTCTATCGTGCTCTTCCGCTAATAATCTTCTCATAAGCCACAAAGGCAGAAGACAAAATAAATAGTACCAACCTGCAAAGAGGAATGTAGGCCACCTAAATGTTTTATGCAAACAAAGATGATAAAGTAATGATGTGTTGTATACAAATACACATCAAGGAACATACTGAAGAATCCATACCAAAGGAACGGTAAGAGGAATTCCCTTTATCTGAAAGGCAGCCACTGAGCATGTCCACTCCCAGCCTGCAATCATGATTCTGACAAATAAGTAAACACTGACAAAGAAACTGAAAATCACATCAACCACAGAAAGCAACTGAGTGCAACACACTTTTGTTGTTAAATATCAAGACATCTGTTTTGTAACACTGCTAACAGATTTTAAGATTCCCCATGGTTTCTTTGGCTCTACATGGTAGGCCTTTTGGGGCCACTCTAAACCTTCCAGACACATCCTGCAATCATTTGTAGGAATTATATAGCGTTTTAACACGAGAACTCATGGTGCAAATTACTTAAATCAGCCCTGCACACAAATCCTGCCCAAATCTCTGAATGTTCAAAGCTAGGTGTCATATAGATAGCCAAGGAAGTTACGTGAAGTAATCAAGAGTGATCAGTTCCAGGAGGCTTAGCTTTCACACAAGGAAATTGAAGAAAGAGGCAGATGGGGCCAGAGAATACTGCCATGACATGGGATCCAGTGCCCTCTTCTAGTGTGTCTGAAGACAGCGACAGTGCACTCAAGTACTAATGTATAAGTAAATAAATAAATTAATAAATCTTTAAAAACAAAGAGAAAGAAAGAGAGATAGCTTAGTAGGTAAAGGCACTTGCTATTATGTCTGACTTGGTTTTGGCAAGCTGCAGTGATCTGATAATATGAACCTCAACTGAGAAATAGCCTCCATCAGATTGCCTCTGGACAAGTCTATAGTGCTTTTTCTTGATTAACTAACAGGTGGGTCCCACCCAGGGTTGGGGAATGCCTTGCCTGGGCTAGTAATCTGGGGTGTGTTAGAGGATAAGCTGAGCAGGCTATGAAGAGCAAGCCAGTAAGCATCCCTCCATGGCCTCTGCTTTAGTTCCTGCCTCCAGGTTCCTGCCCTGGCTTCCTTTCTGTCTTGGCTTGCCCTAATGATAGACTGTAATCTGGAGGCCAAATAAACCCTCTCTTCCCCAAGTTGCTTTTGGTCTTGGTGTTTCATCACAGCAATAGAGACCCTAACTAGACAGTCCATACAACCTGACTGAAATGAGAGAACCAACACTAACAAGTTGTCCTCTGACTTCCACATGGATTCTGTGACACATTCATGCCCACATACATATATATATATATATATATATATATATAAAATAAATAGAAAATTTTGAATTATGTTTTAATACAATAGATATATTCAACAGCTAAAAAAAAAAGGAATGGAATACCAGCATATGTTATTAAACTAAGCTAAGTGAAGGAGTATATGTTGCATGATCTATACATGTAACATAGACAAACCATGCAGACTGATGGAAGGGATGTATATCATCCTTTGCGAAGGCCAGAGCCAGGGCATGGTGCTGACAGGTACAGGGACTTTGGGGGGGCATAAGAAAGTTCTAAAATTAGACAATGGTAGTATTCATACACCTTTGTAAGTACATGAAAAACATTGAATTATATACTTTGAATGATTTAGTTACATCATATAAAAATTCTATCAATCAAATTTTAAAGCAGGTTTTAAAAGAACTGTCTTAATAACGATGTCTGTAGCAAACCCAAGAGTAGGCTTCTAGATCTAAAAATCTCTTCTGTGCTGATTTAGTCACTGAAAATTTACATTGAGCTGCTGCCATATGCCAGGCACTGAGTTCTTTGCTATAGTTCGGTAGTTAACCTGTGTTCTTGGTCTTTGCATCTGTGAGGACTTACAGTAAGTGCATAGTGGTTACTGGTTTCATTTTCTAAGTTCCATGGAGGAAAGTATTAGCAAGTGGAAAACATAACACAGCCTGGTAGAGCAAGGGACAAACACTGAAGTTAGCAGAATCTTCCCAAAAGCTTAGCAGAGCTGTGTGCATGCCTGTGCTAACCTGAGGGTCAGCACCTTCCATGATGTGCTTTCTGGGATCAAACTGGGTTAGCAGGCCAGGCCTGTGCTCCCTTTTGCAAATCATGCTTCTATAAAACAGAAAGAAAGCAACACTGCATTATTCCCCTGAGGATTCTCAGGTAATTATGAAATGTAAAACTATTTCCACCGCAGTCTGCACGCGCGCGCGCACACACACACACACACACACACACACACACACACACACACACACACAGAGCTGAGCAAGGAAAACCAAGTAGCTTGAAGAGAGAAAAATCTGAAAAGTTTTACAGAAGTGGGTCACTTGTGCATATCATGTGTCATGCTGAATTTGATATCAGAAACTGAAGGGTTGGTTGCTAATAATGAAAATATGGGGTTTTTTGTTTGCTTGTTTATTTTTTGTTTCTTAAATAAAAATCACTTAACTCACAAAAACATCACGGCTAGGGTTTCAGGTCTACTCAAGCATAGACTGGTCCAGTCCCAAACTCCACAAGCTTCTGTACAGTTAGAATAAATATGTTTAATTAATTTACAAAGCCTGAAGTGGGGGCTGGAGAGATGGCTCAGCGGTTAGGAGAACTGACTGCTCTTCCAAAGGACCCTGGTTCAGTTCCCAGCACCCACATGGCAGCTTAAAACTGTCTGTAACTCCAGGATCTGACAACCTCACACAGATATACGTGCAGGCAAAAAAACATAGTAATATACATAAAATAAATAAATTATAAAAAAAAAAACCTGAAGTGTTGCCTATCTTTAAAATGTAATCATGCTCAAATCATGCTAAAATGATACCCTGTGGATCCAGTGTTTACTTTTGTTTCTTTTAAAAGACGGTGAAAAGGCGGATATTTCTGTGAACATGTATGAGGACATCAACATTATCACGGGTGCACTTAAACTGTACTTCAGGGATCTGCCAATTCCTCTCATCACGTACGATGCCTACCCCAAGTTCATAGAGTCTGCCAGTAAGTACAGTGATGCGGGAGTCCAACACCCGACAAGCCGTCTCTTCTCGACCGCTCTTCCTGCTGAGTATCATCAGTGTGGTTTTTTAAGTCCTTCCCCTGTGGCTCTCGCCACGGTCCATGTATCCGCAAGCACTTAAGCTCTCTAACCCAGAAGCCTCCTGTTCTTGGTTTCCATACTTACACCGAGCACAGACCTTCAGAGTTCACAGACAAGCACTGGCCCATCACTTATGTCTCTGGGACTCAGGTGCACATCATCAAGAAGTTTGTTTTGTTTGCTTTGTTTTCAGAATTAGGAAGCTGAACTCAGGCCTCATTACACTCTTCAGCCAAAGAAGTGGGTTTTTGTTTTTTAGAGTTATTTTGTTTTTTTGGGGGGGGTGGTTTTTTTGTTTGTTTTTTGTTTGTTTGTTGATTTTTAGGTTATTTTAAATTCTAGTTAAGAAGAAAATGGTTCATTTGCAAAATTTTATTTCTGTTTCAAAACTCATACCTGTAATTCATATCTTACCCTTTAAAAAAGAGAAATCTTAACAGTTCCTGAGTATTGGCATCATTTTAAAAAAAAAAAAAAGAAAAGATCATCTATTTCTGTCATGTTGCCTCTGTCTTTGAAACCATATGTCTCTAGAAAGTTTGGTGGGCAATACTTGAGTGCCTGGGAGAGAGAAGGGGCTTGTCCAGGGAGAGTATGGCCAGTGTGGTGTCAGAGTTAGTGCATTTTAGTTAGCATATTCCCAGCTAGAACCAGGTGGAAATGTGGGGTGCCTCTTTCTGCAACCACAGGTTCATCTGGGCCAGTGTGTTCACTGGACATCTGAATGTCACACATGGAGCAATCCCCAGACCTCCACCACCTGGTTATTCTCCCTCGCTTACATTCCCCATCCGGAAATCTTAAGAGCTCTGTCTTCAAAACAGACTCAGAATAAACTATCTTCACACTGCTGCCGTCTGCACAATGTCTGCTCTGTGCCCTGGATGCCATCTCAATGGCATGGTCTTCTGCCATTATTCTTGACCTTCTGTAGACCTTTGTGCTCCCTCTGCATGGCAGCTAGAGGGAAGGGAACTGTAGAAATTGAGTGTTAGGGACAGTGAGAGGGTCAGGGAGTAAAAGACACTTGCCACCAAGGCTGACAACCTGAGTCTGGCCTCCAGTACCCATGGAGTAGAAAGAAGTGACCTCCATGATGTGCCACATGTACTCACACATGCAAACATAACTACCATGTTTAACTGAGCACTGGGTTACATGACTTCATAACCTTACTGCTCTCGCCATACGTCTTCGGGTTTGACACAGCTCACATGAGAAGAGCTCTGCAGCCACATCTGCTCCACTCTCCCTCAGTCTCACAGGCATGCTCTGCTCTGGACCTGCTCACAGCTCGGCAGCAACCGCCTTCCCTCTTCGTCTCATTCTTTCAGGTCTCTGAGGCAGCTTTACTCAGGAGCTTTCCCTCACATGGAGGATTTTTCTGACCATGACTGAAATCCAGGCACCCAGCATAGCATCCTTTGGGCTGCCCTCACACACCTGCCTCTTTCTTGTGCACTGTAGCCTGGGATGCTGGCCTCAATGTTTGTTGTCAGCCTCTCCAGGAGGAAATAACTCTCCTGCGCTAGCACACCAGTGCTCCCCACAACATCCCACTGTCTCAAGCTCCTCCTGGCCAAGATTAATTGTAGAAGTTAAAAGGGAAAACCTGCTTTTAATTTCCAAAATGTAGCTTCAAATTAATTGGCCCTATGCTAAGAGTTAGCTTTCCATAGTAAACAGAATTTCCTTCTCTTCATTCTAGAAATCAAATTACTACATTTCAGTGTCTGAGAAAAGAGCTGTGTTATGAATAGATATACCCTTTAATGTCCCCAAGGTTTGGAGTTCATGCATTATCCGGATGGCAAAAGGCAAAACACATATTCTTTATTGTAAAGAAATGAACAGGGAATTGAGGAAGCTTTGGACCAAAGCTGTAGAGTAGTCAGAGGTTCCTTTAAACTAAAAGGCTTCAGTCACTGATCATAAATATCCTGACAGTCATTGGACCTGCTTGGCCATGCTTAACCCCAGCCTTTGTGCTACACTGGCTTTTACTGGGCCCAGTGTACATTGTCATTGAGCTGGTCTGGTTATTTGTTAGAGACCAGAGTCCCAGTCTTCTGTCTTAAACATTGGATACAGGGTAGATGGAGTATTTTCAGCATTTCAAGGCTGTCCTGTTGATTAGGACTCAACAGTATAAGGTCCTGTTGTGGTTGGCCTAAGACCCAACATTTAAGGCCCTCCTGTATCCAGAGTGCGAGTGTACTGTGGTGCTCTTCAAGAGCACAGAATTCCAACAGCATCAACTCCTTGTGTTACAGGTGTGATTGGTAGATTGACAGAGTTCTTACAGAAAGTGACTGGTGTGTGGGCACTCAGTGCGGCTCTCACATGACCAGATGGAGATCTTCCCTTCATAATGGACTCCTTTAGGAGAACCCCCTTATCCCAAGATCCCACCATGGCACGGCACGCTTAGAGTTGCATGCAGTGTGTTCTTCAGAACACATTCTGAGAAATAGAGAATGCTCATGCTTTGAAGGGAGACTTCATTTTGTTATATAACACCAAGTATAATAAATACAACAAGCAAATGTGAGATGAGACATTTCTTGATTTAGAAAAATAAAGAGCTTGCATATTGCTCAGTGGTAGAGTTCTTGCCTGGCATGTATGAGGCATGGGTTCTTCCCATAACACACCAAAGAAAAACAGTGTCATTAAAAAAATGTATCAGGAAGACTTTGTCAGGAATCACAAGGGGCAGTGGGCTCCCTTCTTGACTTGTATACCACAAAGTGATTTCTGAATATCCTGAGCAGTATGCATGCTGTTCTCAGAAGAACTTCTTAGTATCTAGTGTATCCACTTTCCTCAAGTGCCAGACCACAAGACCCTCAAGGGAAAAAAGCTCATTCAACTGTATCCCCACACTGAACAACCTAAGGTGGCCTTGAACAGCTGTTGTGGGGCTATGAGAAATCCTTTTCACTAGCTTTACAAAAGCATCACAGAAGAGCGTTCCATGAGTGTGCACATCAGCTTTCTGCTAGAGCATCTCTCCTTGATGTTGTAGAAATTATGGACCCTGATGAGCAATTGGAGACCCTTCACGAAGCACTGAGATCGCTGCCGCCCGCCCACTGCGAGACGCTCCGGTACCTCATGGCACATCTCAAGAGGCAAGTTGCAGCTTATATCTTACTGCTGTATTGCAACCGAATTTCAAGAATAAAATTAAGCAAAAGGTGAAAGAAAGGTCATGGTCTGTTGAGTGAATGTGTAGGTGCATAGCAACATTGTCTTTTGAGAAACTGTACTAGTTGGGAAAGGATGCTAAAAATATTGTGCACTGCAGTTCCATGTGCCAACCTCATCCTGACATCCACGCACTACAGTTCTAGGATCTGCTTGTAAGTGTGCTAGTGTTCTGCAGATAGTGTTCTACAGACATTGGTGAACATTTTGTGGACAGGGAAAGGGTTGCTGCTGTCAGCTTGTGAGGCAACTCATTTTTCTTGGCTTGTTGCTTTAAGTAAGCACTTCAAGCTTGGTGTACGCAGTCTGGGTTGGTTTGTTTTGTTGTTTGTTTGTTTTTGTTTTTGTTTTTTGAGACAGGGTTTCTCTATGTAGTCTTGGCTGTCCTGGAACTCACTCTGTAGACCGGGCTGGCCTTGAACTCAGAAATCCGCCTGTCTCTGCCTCCCAAGTGCTGGGACTAAAGGCATGCGCCACCACTGCCCGGCACAGTCTGGGTTTTTAAACTGCTGTTTTAACTGCTGTTGCCAACATGGAGAGTGTATGAACAGTGATGGAGGAGGAGGAATGTGGTTGGTTTGAAGCTGGGATGGGATTGGTGATGATCAAAAATTTGAGTTATGTGATGTCAGCAGATTTAGGGCTTCAAACACTAAAATCAATTAGAAACAATTAGAAAATTCTGTATGTCCAAAAGCACGTTTCAGTCACTCACAGATACCCCTTCCTTCCTTCCTTCCTTCCTTCCTTCCTTCCTTCCTTCCTCCCTCCCTCCCTCCCTCCCTCCCTCCCTCCCTTCCTTCTTCCTCTTGTACATCCTACACCTTCTTCTCTTCCTCTTGCCATGTAACCCTGGCTGACCTGTATAGTCCAGGCTAACCCTAGCTGACCTGTATAGACCAAGCACATCTCCAACTCACAGAAGTCTGCCTGCCTCTGGAGTTAAAGGTGTGAGCCGCCACCCAGCTCTTTCCCACATTACAGGCATCATGTTCAGACTTCCTTTGAATATGTTCACAACTAACGCCACTTGTAAATTAAAGTTTGCTTCATATTTGGTGTTAGTTAAGTGTTCTATAATAAAACTAGTAGCTCTCTGTCTGTGCTGTTGCTGTATTGTAAAAAGAAGAGACACAGACCCTGACCTCTGAACTGTGAGCCACTCTTCCCTGCTTCCACAGATGCTCTCCTAGACACTCAGTGTTCACTTCACCTAAGGGAGCCACAGAGACAAGGGAAAGGGAGGGCAGGCCTCCTCCGCCTCCTCCTCCTCCTCCTCTTCTCCCTCCTCCTCCTCCTCCTCCTCCTCTTCCTCCTCCTCCTCTTCCTCCTCCTCCTCTTCCTCCTCCTCCTCCTCTTCTTCCTCCTCCTCTTCCTCCTCCTCCTCTTCTTCCTCCTCTTCTTCCTCCTCCTCCTCTTCTTCCTCCTCCTCCTCTCCCTCCTCCTCCTCCTCTCCCTCCTCCTCCTCTTCCTCCTCCTCCTTTTCCTCCTCCTCCTCTTCTTCCTCCTCTCCTTCCTCCTCTTCTTCCTCCTCCTCCTTCTCCCCTCCTCCTCTTCTTCCTCATCCTCCTCTTCCTCCTCCTTCTCCTCCCCCTCCTCCTCCTCTTCCTCATCCTCCTCCTCTTCCTCTTTCTCCTCCTCCTCCTTGGAAATGTGTCTGGCCAGGGGAACCCACAAACATCTGAACCCACACAGCCCAGATGTGAGCTCCAGATCACCAGGACTTGGAATTATTTCTCAGTATGACTTACTTCAGAAGAAGTCCCAGCCCTTGAAGTTTCTAAGAAGCATGGGATAATAGTTTAGGAGAGCTGCCCAGTGGGCATACCTTGGCTGTGGCTCTGGTCTCGTTTGGGTGCTCAGACTTGCTGAAGAGCATCCAGTATCACTGAGTCATCTGTGTTTTGCTGTGTTTTCAGAGTGACCCTTCATGAGAAGGAGAATCTGATGAGTGCAGAGAACCTTGGGATCGTGTTTGGTCCAACCCTCATGAGATCACCGGAGCTAGACCCCATGGCCGCCCTGAATGACATACGCTATCAGAGACTGGTGGTGGAGCTGCTTATCAAAAATGAAGACATTTTATTTTAGAGTTTTGATTTGAGGAGAAAAGAAATGGTTTACAGATGAAGGAATGTTTTCTAGTAATTTAATTAGCTTCATTAGCTGAATTGTTTCTCGGTTAGAGGTTTGGCCAAATACCCAGATTAAAATGAAGGAACTTCCTGTCATTTCTATAGCACTGCTCAGCCATCCTTGTAAAACAGTGAACACATGCTTTCTGGTCCTGGTAATCCTGGGTGTTTATCATGTTAAGAGAAATTCAAGCTACTGCATGATTACCCCTTTCCGGTGAGGAAACCCCATATTGCGGAATCACAGACTTGTGCCTGCGCCACCTCTCTGTCCTGGGCTGTCTGTGGTTGTCACCCAGCATGCTTCCCAGAGTAAACTGTCATGACTTTGCTTTTGGGGTCCATGCCATTGGTTTCTGATGCTTGCACACACACGCATACACACATATAAGCAGCGCCCTAGCTGTTGCATCCCCATCCCTGTACCATATGCCAACTCCACAACGGTTCCTTCCAGCTTCCTCCTCCTCCTCTGACATAGCGCTTTGTCCTCAGCAGAAGCAAGATGTGTTTTCAGATGTTACTTCAGTAAGCTATCAATAAAAATGCACCACACAGCATTTTCTGTTAAATTATTGGTTTTCAACTGTAAATTTATATTTTTACCTGGCATGCAGTTATTAATTTATTAAATTTGGCTTTTAGAAATCAAAAACACTTACAGCTTTTTTTCTTGCTGTGGGAAGAATAGCTAGAAATCCATATTTGCCATTTATTTAACATCCATTATGTCTCTATCCCTGCCTATCACTAAAATATTGTGGTAATCTAAAATAACTTAAACTTCCTAGAATTGACATTCACTCATTAGATTTAATTTTTCTCCTATTACTCTGGGAGAAATCTGTAGCATTTTTTTCACTTTGGGGTCAGTTTTCCTCCAGCCCCACAATGCAAGGAGTGCTAACTGAAAGGGCAGCCCTGAACTCCTGCCAGGCTTGTCTGGAAACAGCCAGGTTCATGTCACCACTGAGACGGTTACAAGGCCGCTTGTCAGGCAGAGAGCAAGTCTGCACTAGACAATAGGAACCTGAGATCTGTGACTGGGACTGCCACCCATCATCCAGGTGACTTTGAGCAGAAGACCGTCTTGTTCTGTCTCTTGGACTGTTAGATGAACACCCACCTAGAACTCACATTCCATCCTGCTTTAAACAATGAAACAAAACTTGTGTGGTTTAGGTTTCCAGTAATAAAAGTGCTATAATCCCAGCACCTGGGAAGAGGAATCGGGAGGATCGAGCTCAGGGCCAGCCTAGGATACACAAGACCCTGTCTCAAGCACACACTCAGTGGAATGGCTAGTGTACTATGGTCCTAACTACTGAAGGAAGAGGAGCACTTGAATCCAAGGGTTCAAGACCAACCCAGGCAACTTGAGGAAAGAAGTGGGTCTAAATGAAAGGTGAAGATGAAATACATTTCTGAGCTCTCAAGTCTGCTCAAAACAGTGGCTACCAATGGAAATACAAGGCGTGTCTCCCTCCACTTTCTAGGCTGTAGTGAGCAGCTGGTAAGTGGTGAGTTTGCTTTCTCACTGTTCACATTGAGAGAAAGTATTGATATTCAGGGATACTCCATCTGTCTTTTTAGCCAGTGTCCTGTGAAAAGTTTCACTACACTAAGTATCAAACAGAACACACAGATTGATCAAGTACAGAGATTTGATTTAATAAATCATCTTCAAAAGTAGAAGCCAATCACAGGGTGGGAGGCAGCTCAGTAATAGACTGCTTGTCCAATATGTGCAGAGAATTTAAACAACTACACTGGAAAAATGTTAAGCCATAAATTACAGCCATGAAGTTCATCCACATTAAAGCACACAGCTTATAGGTCAGGGCCTGTTATGATTATGATTACTATGATTATTACTGCTATTACTATAAAAAGGAGGAGGATGAGAAAGGAAAGAAAGAAAGGAAGAGAAAGAAAGAAAGAGAAAAGGAAGGAAGGAAGGAAGGAAGGAAGGAAGGAAGGAAGGAAGGAATAAAAGAAAAAAAGTTACGCTGTCAAAGCATCTAACAGAGCTAACACTAACAGGCTTTCTGGGTTTTGAGACAGGATCTCACTCTGTTCCCAGTCCGGCATGGGGCTTACTGTGTGGCAGACAAGACTCCAACTTCTAAGGGTTGAGGTTATAGGTATGAGTCACGTGCCAGGCTTCACAATACCTTTTAATTATCCTAAACTATCAGATCCCATTTTTGTAGTTAAATGAATTCTAATTTAAATAAGGCACACTATATTACATGCGGTTGCCATGGCTTAATGTATCCTCCACAGTTCCTTGCAATTCACTTGTTAAAAAAAAAAAAATACTGATTTGGAATTCTCCCAATTGTTGCATTTGCCAATTCTATCCTCTGTGTTGTTTGACATGTTCCTCTGGTCTTTGTTCCTCTATAAACTGGGCATTATATGAAGCTTTGAGCTACCTACTTCCTTAGAGAGGGGGACTCTGTTGTCCAATCTGTCCTTCAACTTGTGGCTTGAGCAATCTTCCTGCCTCGGCCTCCTGAGCAGCTGGGCCTGTAGACTTGCATGGTGTGAGTTGCTCTAGGAAACTTGTAAAACTGCAGATTTCTGGGCCTTCACCCTACAAACGTCCATTGAAGTGGTGTGAGTGCTGGAGATCTCTTGGGTTTGTTGTGTTTACTTGATTTTATGTGAATGGATATTTGCCAGCATGAATGTGTACCATGTGTAGAGGCCAGGAGACAGCTTTGTATCCCCTGGAACTGGAGTTATGGATGATTGTGAGCTATCATGTGGGTGCTGAGAATCAAACCCAGATCCTCTGCAAGAATACCCAGTGTTCTTGTCCTCAAGAGCCTCAAATGAATGCTTTTTATCACTTAAAATTGCTAACCTATCTGACTCCTCCAGGAGATAGATTTGTCCAGTCATACCACGTGTCAGAGACGTACTGTGGAGAGTCAGTGGAGACTTGCATAGGGAAGGGTCTCAGAGCCACAGACCTGTATATATCTAGCCCAGCTTACAGAAATGCCCTGGCCCTGTGAATATGATCGGAGAGATACAGCAGGCTAAAGACACATGCTGTCCACACTGGGGCTCTGAGTTGCTGACAGTAGCTGCCTCATGTCCCAGCTGCTGATGCCTGTGGGCCTTCTGACTGCCCTCACTCTCATGCCCCAGAACCACCTGTCCCCTCTACGGCTGCAAGAGACAGCCATTTGGTGAGTCAGCTCCTCTGCACAGCATGCAGCAGCCAGAGCCTGTTCAAATTCTTCCTATAACCTCCTTCACACTTAAAGCAAGGCCACATTCCTCACCATGGCTACAAGCCTGGCTATTGCTGGACCCACTCCTCTAACCACATCAAACTTAAGCATCTTTGTCACCTGAGCCACTTGGGAAGCAATTTTTAGCTCCCTACTTCAAATTCCTAAGTTAAAGTCTTGAGTGGGACCCAAGACTTTGTATCTCTAACTATATTCAGGTGATGTAGACACTGACCCAGGAGCTTGGTCTGGGAACCACTGCCCTGCGGCTTCTAGAGTCTAACTGCCCATTGGATCACTGCAGGCCAATGAATCAATATGTTGGCAAGGCCCGGACAGACAGCATCCCAGGTGATTCTAACAGTCCCCTAGGGCTAACTGTAGCAGCTTCATTTCCTCTGGGTGTGTTATGGTGCACTAGAAATTTGCTTCAAGTATAATCAAATAGCAAACATGGGAGAAACAGTTGAGATTCTACACAAAGAAACAAGGAGTCAAGCCACAGGCAAGCACACAGGGCCATGTTGAGGAGGAGCAATTAATCAGTGGTCAAGGACCGGCCAATAGAATAGCATCCTAGGTTATGGACATGGCATTAACCCCTGGTTCCCACCTGGCCCTAGTGATGCAGTGTAAGAACGTTGGCTGGATTGCAGCCATTGTAGGGAGTGTTGGCTCTGGAGTGCTTCGGCATCTTAAAGGGGAGTCCTTTACACTCTCAAGGAATTGGCAAGTTGGCTACACATGGGAGGACAGTCTCTAATACATGGAGAATACAGAAAAGAACTAGTCCAAAGTCTGTGCTTTTCTCCAAAGTCACTTCCCTGTTTCTGACCTACGTCTGACTCTGTCCTCAGTACATTCTTACTTTTGATTCTAAATTGTACAACTCACTAAATATAAATTGGTACTAAGTCAGAAAAAAAGACATCAAATTTTGTAGAAATCAGGATGGATCACATAAATACCCTACTTATTAGAACCCTTTATTAGGAAACTATGGAGGATCCCTAGAAACCACTGAAGGACATTCTTATGTAACAAGAATTAAACTCAAGGCCCTGATCCCGCAACAGTGGTTTCTGTTAAAGGAGATCAATAACTTCCAGAATTCTTCATTCCCTAGATGAGACTAAAGGTCCTTGGGAGGCGAGACTGAATTGTTCTAAGAGCCATCTGGTGGAGCTTGTAACTGGTAGGTACCTCAAAGACTGCTCCTTGACAAGTGAGTCAATATACGTCTGCCCTTGTCATGGGGTTGTTTGGTTAGCACATACTCAGAAGCCCCTTCAGATATAGGTCCTCTGAAAGTTGGCTAAGTTACAAGGAGGGGAGGAGGGAGAAAGGGAGGAAAGGAGAGGATGAAGACAAGCTGGTTGGTCTAGGCTGCTGCAGACAGATTTCTTCTCTCCCCCTCCCCCTCCACTTGTCCCTCTAGCTTACCACTAGCTTCTCAGATGGCATAGTTAGCCATCTGCAAAGGAAGCAAGAGGCTTTCACATTGCAAACTTACACTGTTTTAAGTCTGAATATGGGCTACAGAAAGAAAAAATTTTCCTTGCCAGTACCACATGAACCACCATTTTTTCTTCTTGTTTTAACTTTAGGATGGGGAGAAACTAAAGGATTGATAGAAGGTCATTCTGGGGAGTTTTCACAAACAAGAACGGCCCAATGCCTACCATTGCACATGCCCAGGTGTGCGTACACACACACACACACACACACACACACACACACACCAATCACTCCATAGTTGGGTGTTAAGGAGCCTACCAATGACTCAGCAAGGACAAGCCCCACTTTGCTTTTGCTTGAGATATAAATATGCCCACCCCCTCGCTCTTCCTCTCCCCTCTGACACTGGGTCAAACACAAGGTAATACAGGCGATCAGGAAAGTCCATGGCATCTAGCAGCAACGTTGCAGTTTTTCCTATGCTGAAGCCTGGGCCCAACCATAGATAACTCCCAAACACACACATGCTCAGCTCACAGTACAGCCAAGGGTTTCTATGGTGTTACAGGAAAAGGCTACAGCTTGTAATTGGAAGCAGAGCTTACTGGTTATAAACACCACATTGTGAGCCAGAACAGAGTGCTGCAGACCATCTAGGGCTGAACCCCCCAATCGCCCAAATTGAAGGCCTGCTTTTTTATACCCACAACCAACAGAGCGTCCCTGTGGTCAGTAGGGGAGGATGGCTGCAGGGATGATAACTAGGTCTTGAGTCACTCCCACAGGAAAGAGAAACCTCAGAGAGGGTGAGCAGACTGCTCCTAGGCTGATCCTGGTGCTGACAGCAACCGGGG